AAAAAAAAAAAAAAAAAGGGGCATAAGTTGTATAACTAAAACCATTCTGAATTCCACAGTGAACCACAGCCCATGAAGGTATGTGCAAAGTTGCAGACCCCACTTGGCAGTCTTTTTTTTTTGTATTTATTTATTTACTACACTGCCAGAGTTGCCCAGGTCCACGTGCCCGGCCGGGCCAAAAGGAAAAAAAAAAGAAAAAACATATATATTTTAATATAGTTTTTTATTTTAAATTTGGTAACGAATTTCGATCTGATCCTAAGGCAAGAGTTGTTCAGTTTATTTTTTTGCATAACATAGTTTTTTTTCGGGTTTTTTTTTTTTTTTTTYTTTTTGGCTGGGGCCTTCCCTACTAATCCCTAGTCTTTGCACGGCCGGGCCGCCCAGGAAAATAGAGTGACCCGGGCGGCCCGGCTGGTAGCCTAGTTTATTTATTTATTTTTTACTTATTTATTTATTTACTTATTTATTTCTTTATTTCTTTATTTATTTCTTTATTTCTTTATTTATTTATTTGTTTTCACTTGGGAGTATACTCAGCATAGACTTCAATGGAGTTGCAGACGTTCTGTGCAAATTCCTTCCCCACAACAAAAGGGAAAGGGGAAAAAAAAGATCACTAGGGAAAGGGAAAAGAAAAGATCATTGGTCCAAATTCCCATGTGCACATTGCTTCCAGTCATCGGAAGATGATACTCGCCGAGCACTGCAGGGTTTTTGCTGGTGGTCCCCACTGCCCCCCAGCACCCCCTGCCAGCCTCGGGGCCTGGGAGCCTGGGACTCGGGTCTGAAGGAAGGAGATAGGGTAGGGTTGAATACTGTTTGCAGGGGCGCTGGATTCAATTTCCAGCTTTGGGCTTTGAAGACCCGTCAATTTTGAAAGCATTCTGTATATTTTTTTCATAAATGACGGTGGGCCTGGTTCCCAGCATGTGATGCTCCCCACGAATGGACGGAGGGAAGCTTGTGTTTTCCCCAAAAAAAAAAAAAAAAAAAAAAAAACCGGACGTAATGGCTGAGATCGCACGACGATGGACTACGAGATAGTGACCTTCAGTTTTCGTTTTCTGCGGCCAGTGTCTCTAAGTCGGCGGACTCCGCGCTACCGTCTTCACTCTAATACAACAACGCCTGGTCATTGTAGCTGTATTCGGAGCGACTTGCAGTCTAGCTAGATACAGCTATAAGGACTGGGCGTTCTGCGTGGGTGAAGACGATCGTGGAATCTCAGCCGGTGGATTCCACTTGCCGGTGGGTCAAACTCAAAAAACATTTAAGACAATCATTTTTTCTGTTTTGTGTCCTTTGTACATTTGTGTTGTGAGACAGAGGCTAGATTTTCCCACCGCCGTCTGGGTCGGCGTGTCTTGGACTTCAGCGCCGAGGGTGCTGGTGATGGAGCGGGAGGAGGGCAGACTGGAGGGGGAGGAGGTGGCGCTGGAACAGCATCGGCAGGTGGCGGCAGGGCATTCGCCAAGGGAAGTGGATATGGCGGGAACCCAGGGACGTATGGTGGTGGATCTGGCTTTTCTATGATCTCCTCGGGGAGGGACTCGGCAACGGCAGGAGGAATAGGAGGAGGCGGAGGGGGTGCCGATTCCTACGGCTTCGGCAAGGGGGAGACAACCGCCAGTGGCAGTGGTCTGTACGAAAGTGAGGGGAATGCGCACGGGGGCGGTCATGGCGGTGGAACGGGAGGCGGAGGAGGAGGAGGAGGTGGGCTCTCGACGGCTGGGTTCTACGAAGGCGGCAACGAGGGATTTGCTTTCGCGAATGGAGTCGGTTTGGCGGACAACTCCACTGGTGGGGCAAACTTGAAGTTAAGTTTGACGGGCCCCGGGGAGGCTGTGATAGGAGGTGGAGCGGGAGGAGCTGGCGCAGGAGGAGAAGCTGGAGGCGCCGGCGGTGGAAAGACGTCAGAAGTTTATCCGTCATCAACTCCTTAGAGCCACTGACAGAAGCAACAGCTTGTCATCTTCCAGTTCAAATGTTGGTTCATCCAAGTTCACAGTCTTCTGACGACCCTTTCAAGGTGGCGACGTCACCAACGTGAGGTTGGACAGAGGCCCTCCCTACCTAGTCGCTAGCGCAGATTAGAGAAGAGAGATCTCCTTTGAGGCGACTACTCAGTGGAGATCATTATGGATGTGAGGTTGGTTGGACAGAGACCCTCCCTACCTAGTCACTAGTGCAGATCAGACAGAGATCTCCTTTGAGGCGGCGACTCGGTGGAGATCATTATGGTTGCAATCTCCCAATGATGAATGGCACGATCAACCAGAGTTCTGGCAGGAAGTCTATCCGTCGAGTTACGGGTCCGATGATTGTGAGCACCGAGCGCGGACTCTCCCAGGTCGCAATCTGCCAAATGATGCCATAACCGTGAATGATCCTCCCCGCCACCCACTGGTAGGAGAGATTGTAGTCGCGTTCTCCCACCGAATGGCGTAATCCGGCAGAGCTCTGGCCGGAAACGAGAGAAACCCTCCCTCGACCTCCGAGTCGCCGGCAACTGGTGTGAGCATTGAACACCACCCAGCGGAGGTCACTGCTCACGATGTCCATTGAGTGGCATAAGCCACGTAATCGACGGCAGTTCTGGTGAGAAGGGATTCCTTCCGCTTATATGGGTCCGATAATTGTGACAGCCCAGAGGAGGTCGTAGTTGCAATCTCCCAACGAATGGCACGATCCACTGCAGTTCTGGCACGAAACATGTTCATGTCGTTTTCAGATTTTCTGGGTTTTTTTTTTCATGTCGTTTTCTTTCGTAGGCGTGGATCTATCTTTTAGATCGTGTGCTGTTTTACTCGCCCTGGCGCGAAATGACTCCACTGATGTACAAGCGTGGCAGTTTTGCATCCCTGACGGCGATGACACGCGCAATCTCCCAATGAGTTCACCGCAGTTCTGGCCACCACAAACCAGGCCTCGAAGGCTGTGAGTTAGTGGTCATCTAGCAGCGTCTGTTTGAGTGCGGTGGAGATCTGGAGGGGCTGTGTGGTATAGGTCTATAATTTATTTATTTTATGCTCAGATCAGGCAGCGATTTATCCAAGATAAATCCTGACAGGCATCTGCTGTTCAAGCACTTTTTTTTATCACCGCGAATTTGCCCAAAACCTTAGTTTTCTTCGTTCTGCGAATTTGCACAAAACCTTAGTTTTCTAAATTTTCTTCTTTCTGTGAATTTGCACAAAACCTTAGTTTTCTTCTTTCTGTGAATTTGCGCAAAACCTTAGTTTTCTTCTTTCTGTGAATTTGCGCAAAACCTCAGTTTTTTAACTGTTTTTTGTTTTCAATTTTAATGCAAAAAAAACTTTAATTTTCTAACTGTTTTTTTTTGTTTTAATGCAAAACCTTAGTTTTCGGACCGGTGCATTTCACAGAGCTTTCTGACAGCTGCAATCCACAGTGTTTTCTGACAACTGACCTTAAGTATTCAATGGTGGTAAAAAAAAAAAAAAAAA